CATCCCCCCACGTTGCTGCTTGGGGTGCCCCCAGAAACAGCCCGTTCGGGGCAGCAGCATCCACTTCCCGAACAGTCTGCAGGCAAGTGGCTCACAGACAGCATCTCTGCAACAGCCCAATATCCCAAATATCCTCGCACTGTCCACATGGTTGGACCTGGTGCCCCAAACCCAAGGCCACCATGATCTTGCACCACCTCCAGCCCACTCGGGTGCTTTCAGCCAGCTCCCCTGCACACACATGTCCCTCCGCACTCTGCCCATTCTTGTGTGGTCGGATTTACTGACATAAAAATCAAGAAGTGAGTTTCGAAGCACCAGCACTGGTGCGTGTAGCGGGCACACTCTGCAAACGCCTCCTTCCAACCTTTCCCACCAGCCCCAAGCAGATAGAGCAGCTGAGATTCAGGAAACCCACTAGGAAGCTGTGCAACTGGAATAAAGTTAAACCGTGAAGCAATGCATATTTGAGGAAACCAACTGCTCATGGAGCTGAAAAGGCCGAGCTCGTGACCCAAAGCGGTTCCGATGCCCCAAGCTGCAGCCAATGTGCCCAGCTGTGATCAAGGGTCAAAAATGGCTGGAAGATCCAGCCCCAAAGAATATGCTCTCTGAAACATTTAGTTTGGCTACATCTAGCTAACTCAGAGCTCCCAGAGCAAGGGATCCTTTCCCAGACCATTTGCCATCCCCCAGGAAGTTCCAGGCCAAGCTGCTCCATAGTATTCCCAAACCCCATCGCTATGCAGGTTGCAGACACCCACAGCAGCCCTGGGAACCAGCCCGTCAGCACAGAAAGAGGAACGCAACCTAAAATAACAAATAGGAGCCAGCAAAGCTCCCTCGCTGGCCTCCCTCCACGTCCCACCGCTGCAACAGCCTGGTAGTGTCTGCGGGACGCTGGGTTGGATTGGCCATACCCAGAACAGGGAGCCCTTTATCCAGCTACCCTGGAGAGCCGGGCAGGGTGGAAAAGGGCCAAACACGGTGCAAACGTGTCCTCCTGGTGAGCGCTCATCCGAGTGGATGGGAGTTCCATGAGGATACAGCTTGTGAGGAGCGGGGAGGCAATGCACGGCGCAGGATTTCTCTGCAGCGTTTCCCAAGTGCACGGCAGCCAGCAGACGGGTTGCAAAAGGCTCCACTTAGCACTGCAACCCCCTTCCCGCCTGAAAGTCCCTAGGGCGGCAGCCCCAGCAAGAGCAGAACAGCAACAAAAAGTCTCTGCTCCCCTCCTAGGGCTGGCAATTCCCTCCTCCTCCCTCGCTCAAAGCCTGGACCCTTCCCCAGGGCTGCTCCCAGCGCCCACAGGGCTCACACAGAGCCACACACAGAGCAAGAAGCTGGATGCAGAAAAAAGCAACTGGGGAGAGCAAACGCTTCCAAAGTGATCACAGCCCAGCCCCGGGGCTGCCCACCCACACCCCCCAAGCAGACCCAGCTCCGCATTCCCGGGAGCGGGAAGCTGCTCTTGGATGCTTTGTGGGCTCCCTCCCCTCCAGGCTCTCCCCCAGGGCACAGGGCTGCTCCCCCAGCTGCACTTTCATCTCCTCCCAGCTGGGAGCTCGCAGCCTCACGCCCTCCGCCTCCCTCTGCCCCGGGATCCCGCTGCCAGTCCTGGCGGAGCGGGTGCTTCCCGGGAGCTCACGGGATGCCCCAGACAAGCACCACATAAGGAAGGAGCCGCGCAGTGTTCCCAGGCCCCCGCGTGTTTGCGCTGAGCTGCCAAGAGGATGAATTGCCCCTTTCCACAGCACGCGGGCGTCTCCAAGGAGCAAACGGGCAGGGAAGGGCTGGGGGGCTCGAGGCTCTTCCAGGCACATGAAGCCTTTTCCCTGGTGAACATCCCTCTCCTGTTGCTCCCTCTGTGCATTTCCCATATGTGTTGAAGCTCAGCTGGAGAGCCAGATCCAGGCTGTACCTGTGGGGCAGCCGGACAGCTGTGGTGGGTATAGAGGGGCCAGGCATTGACCCTCCACCTTGCCCATCTCTGTCCCCCAAAATCCCTGCAGAAACTCAGCTCTGTACCCAGAGCACCACGATGCTGCTCAGCCACAACATGGCACAGTACCGGACCCAGGACACGGCAGGGAATCTGCTCTGCTCCCCATTCCTGCAGCCCCACGCAGGGCAAGGGGACCTGCCAACCCCTTCTCCCACACACTCAGCACAGGGGACATGGGGTGACCAGCAGCCTTGGGATCACAAAACCCCAAAGCTGGGGCTCCCCAGAGTCCTGGCTATGAGGGCATCCACTCTCTTCACAGCCTCTCCTCCTCCTCTCACGCTTTCTCTGCTGCTTCCCAAGGTAGGAGACAAACAGGTCCAGGAGGAACCCAGGAGTCCAGGCAGGGACTGGGCTGGGGGGTGTCCCCGGAGCCCCCCAGGAAGCAGCCAGCAGCCTCCACAGCACAGATACTGTGAGACCTTCTGCTGCCTTTGCAGCTCCAAACACCCCCATCCACAATCCCAGGCTGCGAGAAACCCCTTGGAGCAAGGAAAGAAACAGGAAGGAGAAAGACTCCAGCTGCTGGAGAAAAAGAAGGAAAAGCAAAAATCCAAACCCAAGAGAGACAAGAAAAGGAAGCAGCAGATGCCGGCGGGACGGAGAAGGCAGGAGCATCGGCACAAGGAGCCGCTTACCTGGGCGCTCCGCTCCCTGCTCCGGCCCTTCCCGCTGCTGCGGCGGGGCCCCCCCGCCAAGCCCTTCTGCGCTGCAGCTCCAGCGGCCGCCCGCGAGCGGGGTTTAAAACACGGAGCTAATTAATCATTTAAATAAGCCCGGCCCTCGCCC